CATTAACCATTATTACTTATTGAGAAAAAGATGAATGCCTAAGTATGTGGAATTGCACATAAGAAGGCCCAACTTGTAGCTACCACCCTCTAAGTGGCACATGTAATTCTGAAAAAGAGAGGGCTGATGAGAATAAATGCAGTTTGCCTGTAAGCCTGACAGCGTGAGTTCGATCCCTGAAACCCACAGAGTGTGTGTGTGTGTGTGTGTGTGTGTGTGTGTGTGTGTGTGAGGCACTGGGGTCCAAGTCTGGAAAGTTGTCCTCTGACTTGTATATTCTTGCCTGCTTGCTGTGGTGAGCACAGTCTCCAATAAATAAGTAAATGCCATAAAATACTTAATTCTTAACAAGTAATATTTTTACAGGGTGTGGTGGCACATGCCTTTGATCCTAGCACTTAGGAGGCAGAGAGAGGCTGTGAGTTTGAGGCCAGCCTGGGCTACAGAGAAAGTTCCAGGACATCCAGGACTACACAGAGAAACCCTGTCTCAATAAAAAAAAAAGAAAAAAGAAAAAAGAAAGAAAGAAAGAAAAAAGTAACCCTTTAAAACAGTTCATGTTTAGAATACTACTATTCGAAGTCAAGTAGTTAACTTAATTGAAAGATATCTGCTTATCCACACATCCTTCCTGCCTTCTTCCTGCTTGTAATATTCACACCTCAGTGTTGTACGCCGTTGTTACATAAGCAGCTAGCTGTAATTGCTATGAAAGTAATTGAAGTAGGTCTAACGTGACTTCTAACTGTGAATATATTTCTTTCATCCCTTGCTTGTAGGTTTTTTTTCATAGTGAAACGCTGGAATTGGTCTTGGCTTCTGTAGGCGCCCTTCTCTTCTGTGGATTCATCATCTATGACACACACTCGCTGATGCACAGGCTGTCTCCTGAAGAGTATGTATTAGCTGCCATCAATCTTTACTTGGACATTATCAATCTGTTCCTGCATCTGTTGAGGTTTCTGGAAGCAGTCAATAAAAAGTAATTGAACAGTATACAAAGACCATTTTATTATGTAAAAAGTTTGAATTACACTTAAATAGTAAAATCGTTTCTGGTATTTCTTGGCATTCTGTGTTCTCCATCTGAGAATCTCACTATTCTCTGTGTTATCTCATTTCCAGACCCTTGGCTTAGAATCTCAGATGGGAGATTTAAAATTGTTTTATACTTTTTTTGTAAATTGAGGCATAGTCTCACTGCATAGTCCAATATGGCTTCTAACATGTGATCTTGCTGTGTCAGCTTCCTATGTTCTGGGAATACACCATGCCTGGCTTATTTATTAATTCTTTTAGTACTAAATTAGCCATAACTAGTTGTCCATCTGTAATTCAAAATAATAAAATGAATAGATTTGGCTTTTTTTTAAAGTAAGTGTTTTGCATACACATATGTATGGGCACTCTGTGCATGTCTGGAGTTACCAGAGACCAGAAGGAGGTGTTATGTCACCTGGAGCTGGAGTTACAGGTAGTTGTGATGTGGGAACTGCACTGGAGTTCTCTAAAAGAGCAGCAAGTGCTCTTCGTAATCACTGAGCCATTTCTCCAGCCCCACTGCTCCTCTCTTTATCCACCCGCCACTCCCCAGGCAGGGTAGGGCCCCCAACCGGGGCTCCACCAAGTCCACCAAATCTTCCTGTGCTGGGCCTAGGCCCCTCCCCATGGCCACTGCTCCTCTCTTATAGAGCCTCGTTTATAAATGGAAAATCACTGGAGTAAAATACATTTGATAAGTGAATGGTGTATATACTTAATGGCAACACATTTTATAGGGTTAGTCCTTCTTATTTTCATTTTTTACTGTTGTAGTGGTATTCATATCACTGAATGTATCCTTCTGTGCCAAGCAGTCAGAGCTTGCCAGACAGGAAATATAGCAACAAAAGAATGAATAAATATAGGAACATGGACAACTTAAGATTTTTTTTTTATATCACACACAAAGGTGAACCTGTATGCTTAATTACCAAGAGAGTAGAATTAGTAGGCCACGGAGAAACAGGTAACTCACGATGCATAGGACAAAAGTAGGAGGAAGAGGGGAAAACAGAAGGATAAGAGCCCTTTTGATTGCTGAATAGCTTGTGGACAAAGAGGTGCACTGGGTGGGCCTGGGGAAGATGGCTCAGTGGTTAAGAACACTGACTGCTCTTCCAGAGGACCCAGGTTCAATTCCCAGCACCCACATGGCAGCTCACAACTGTCTATAATTTTGTTCCCAAGGGACACCCATGGCAAAACACCAATGCACATAAAATAAATAAATAAAATTAATTTAAGAAAAGAAGTGCAGTGGGGCCAGGCGGTGGTGGTGGTGGTGGTGGCGGCGGCACCACACACCCTTAATCTCAGTACTCAGGAGGCAAAGACAGGTGGATCTCTGTGAATTTGAGGCCAGCCTGGTCTACAGAGTGAGTTCCAAGACAGCCAGGGCTGCACAGAGAAACTCCATCTCAGAAAAAAACAGACAAACAAACAAAGAGATGCAGTGGCCATGTTATCTGCCCTCAGTTTTCTGCAGAACTCAGACCTGGTTTTAGTCCATTTGATCTAGTTTCTGTGGGTTGCTGTCAGCAGTCAACTTCAGGCCTTTAACTGTCATCTCTGTAGCTCATCTCAACCATCTTGGGAATTGGAAGTCACCGTATGAATTGCAGAACTTTTTCTGTTCCCGGGAACTGGGGAATCCCATGGAAAGACCTGGCTGTGGTAGCCCCACTCACTGCCAAATGCCAGTTGTGTCAAACACTTTTTAGATGAGAAATCAGTTGTTTTCCTGTCAAGTATTCAAGATTACTAACTGTGCATGTAGTTCCAAAAGCTTGTTCCAACTCTTTTGATCCTATACATGCATATATAATTTATACATACATATGTGTGTGTGTGTGTGTGTGTGTGTGTGTGTGTGTGTGTGCCTGTATATAGGTGCACCTAGTGTCATTCCTCAACTTTCATCCACTTTCTTTTTTTTTTTTTTTTTTTTTAATAGACAGGGTATATCACTGGCTGGAATTTGTCTAATAGGCTGGCTGTGGAGTCCAAGGGATCCCAGTGTCTGTCTGTCTAGTGCTGGCAATTTTTTTTCATATGGGTTTTAGGGATCAAAATGAGATCCTCTTGGGTCTGTCCTCTCCAAAGCCTAATTTTCCCACCTTTCTGAAAGTGCCTGTTCTAGAGTTCATGCTTGAATTTTGAATGGAGTCGGGAATTAATGATATTAAAACAAAACGACAACAACAAAAATTCCTGCCATTTTGTCCTCAGAACTACTTGCTTTCATTTATTTAGTTACTAATTCAGTTTTTAAGAGTTGTCATATAATGCTGAATTGTGGAATTTATTATAATACCATAGTAGGTTGTTTTCCTTTGACAAGTTTCTGTTCAAAAGTCAGAGCCTTTTGCTACATGAGACAAGCTGTCAATTTAGAGCATCATTAAGGAAGCTTTTTAAAAATCCATTGTGCACTTACTTCCTTTGTTTTTATGCCACGTAGTTTTGCTTGTGGTAAAAAATTTAAAAAGCGTTGTACTAGGCATGGTTTCTACAAGGGTGACACAACTCTACTAGTAAGCAAACAGGAATTTCATAAGCCATCTTTAAAGATAACTTTGGGGGTTGGAGACATAGTTCCATGGTTAAGAGCACCTGTTGCTCTTGCAGGAAACCTAGGTTCAGTTCCCAGCACCCACATGGTGACTCACAGCCAACTGTAACTCCAGTTCTAGGGGATGAGATATGCTCTTCTGACCTCCCCGGACACCAGGCACACATATGGTACACGTACTGTGGTGGTTTGAAAGAAAATGGTCCCCAAAGGGAGTGGCACTAATAGGAGGTGTGGTCTTGTTGGAGGAAGTGTATTGGCAGGCTTTGGGGTCTCTTTTCCCTAGCTTTAGTCAGTGTGACAGTCGGACAGTGGACTTCCTGTTGCCTGCAAGATGCAATGCTCCCTGCCCCGGCACCACAGCTGCCTCCACATGGCCACACTCCCTGCCCTGATAACAGACTGAACCTCTCTCTGAAACCTGAAGCTACCCCAATTACATGTTTTCTTTGAAAGAGTTGCCATGGTCATGGTGTCTCCTCACAGCAATAGTAAACCCTAACTAAGACACTTAATATCAGACCAAACACTCGTAGACCATAAAAATAAATACTTAAAGATAGTTCTGTGATTGTGATGCATCCTGTAATCTGTATAAAACACTGCTTACAGATAGTACTGCCACGTTAACATGGATTGACCTACTAAAGATCACTAGTCACCGATATCTTTCACAAATGTTAAAAGACCTGTGTATCCCCAAGGCCTGTGCAATTAAAAGCATATGCAGAACCATATACTTTTGTAGCCTCAATCATCCCAGTGGTCTGTTATGTACCAGTTTGGACAGATCAACATTGGTTGAAATAGGTCGTTTGACCCTTTAAATTCTTCAGGATAGCGAAGGAGTATTTTCTGCGTTGGGTGATAGCTTTGAAATATAACTGACATGCAGTGAACTTGACACATTTAAACCGTAGACTTTGATATATTCCCACAGACATCCTGGCATCCTCCGCGGAATGGGGAATTCTCTAGGCAGCAAATAGAAATCTCACTGAGAGCTCTAGGACGGGAAGCACTGAGCAGTCGCTTGCGTATCCCATATTCGTGAGGTTGTCACAGGCAGGGCCCCCGGCCGGGCTTGGCCTATCCGGGGCTTTGAGAACGGCTTGACCTGTAATCTGTCACTCCCGATAGGAAATCCCTTCTGCTTTCTCCAAATTCAGTATCTTCCGTAGGAGATCATTAAGGCCTCGCGAGCACAGAGAGCCTTGGACCCCTCCCGCGGGGCTTCCAAAGGCCACGCCTCTCAGCATTCCCGGCATGCCGCGCGCCGGACTTGGGCGGAAGGCGGAAGTACGGGGACTTCCGCTTGGCGTCCTACGCGTGCAGTGCGGTCGTGTTTGTCCGGTGAGTCGCGTGGGTCTGGGTCTTAGTTCAGCTGCGTGTTGGATAGGCCTCAGACCCTCTCCCCGCTGCGGCCTCGGCCTGGCGGGGCGGGGCGAGGCCCGGGACCTTCATGGCGGCGCCAGGCCCCCCCGGGGCTGTGGCTAAGCGTGCTCAGGCCGGCTTAGGCTCGCCCACTTTTAGACAGCCGTCGATTGCTGGCATATTCAGAGGATGCTCACCTCGCCATCCCACGGTGCGCGCGACCCGTGCAGTGTGCAGAGCAGTGGCCCTGGAGTCTTGAGAGCAATTTGCAGACGTAGAACAGTGAGTGTGAAGGTGCTAAGGTGGGCGAGCTGCGGGCTTTCTGCAGACGCCACTGGAGAGAGTGAGGCGAGAGTTGCAGGAGGCGCGGGATGAACCTTGACGCCTGAATACGCGAGGGGAGAAGTCATAAAAGAATTCTTTAAAAAGCCGGGAGGTGGTGGCGCACGCCTTTTATCCCAGCACCCGGGAGGTGGAGGCAAGTGGATCTCTGTGAAGCCCAGGACAGCCAGGGCTACACAAAGAAAGCCAGTCTCGAAAAACAACAACAAAGAATTCTTTAAAAGGCAGAGAGAGCTATGCTCTAAGCTTTGAAAACGTTCACACTAACCACTTCGTGAAAGCATTCAGGACTGAGAGCTGGAGCAAGGCAGGAGAGCAGTAAATAAGTTTATGGCAATTTGTTAACGATTTACAATTTGTCACTGGCCTATAGGGGCCTGACGTTCTTGTGTGCTGTGTGCTCTGCATTGATCCTCACATATGCTAAGCACGAAGACATGGTAAATTATCTTCCATTTGTCCCAGTACTGAAGAGATGACCGCCCGGCCATTTGCTGAATGTGCAGGTGTGTAAATAGTAAACTTTGTTTGTTTGGGTTTTTGTTGACCACCAGGTAAAGCATGGCTAAGAGCTTACGGAGTAAGTGGAAACGGAAGATGCGTGCCGAGAAGAGAAAGAAGAATGCCCCAAGGGAGCTCAACAGACTGAAAAGCATCCTCAAAGTTGATGGTGATACTATAATGAAAGATGTCGAAGAAATCGCAACCGTGGTGGTACCCAAACAGCGCCAAGAGAAAATGCAGTGTGCGGCGGAAGAAGAAGAAAAGGGTAAGCTTATGGGCTTTATTTATTTCGTTAGAGAATGAATTGGTTTTCTCTTATGCCCTTCCTCCCTTTTAAACTGTCTTCTTTCCATCTCTGCTTGTCCCTAATCTCAGACCCAAATGGGGACAAATGGCTAACTGTGGTACCTATTAGATACCAGAGTGCTTGCTGGCTCCTCTAAGCTCTCCTCACCCCTCTCTTTCCCCTAAACATCTTCACCTCATGGTCTTCCCTTCCCCCAGCTTCTCAGTCCTATATATATCACCCTTCCGTTTCAGTCTTGGTGTCTGTCTGTCTCTCTCTCTGTTTCTCTCTTGACTCCTCTGCTTCCTCTCTGGCTCTACTCCTCCTCCTCCCATGGCCTGGTTCAGTCTGCTGGCCATGTTTAGTCTACCACTTTCTTCCCCTACTCTGCATTCTTCCAGATGTCTCTGGCTGTATGCTCATATCTACAATAAGAAATTTCCCCTCAACCATACCATGGAATGATCATGTCCTCACATCTAAATGTTTAGATGTGCCGGTTACGTTCACATCTTCATTCTTTGAATACTTGTATTTCTATCAGAGATTCTGTGCTAAGCTGTTTCAAAGTCAGTGCTTGGGAATGAGTGTGTCTGGGTTATTTAATGGATCTTCAGCAATTATGTAGCATCCTGAATGCCCCAGGAATTGACAGTACTATAGGAACAAGCTTAGGAGAGCTAGGACGGTTCAGCCAGGACCTGGGCAGGTGAGAAAGGTTTTCACTATTCCTCTCAAGAGCCGGTTCTCATGCTGTGGATCCCACACACCTGTGTTATTACCCTGAAAATCACAGAATCCCACTTTGTGTTGGCATAGAGACCTCTGTGTATTGTTAACCATTGTTTAAGTTTAGAGGCTATACATACTACTGATTTCAGCAAAGGAAAGGGTAACTTTTGTTTTTCATGTCCCAGTTTGGCAGCAAGCTAAATGAAGCACTCATAGTAGCCATTCTTAAAAAATAAGAGTGTGTTTATGTCTTCAAGGAGAACAGTGTTCGTAACTCTTCTTATCCTAGATATAAGCACTCCATTCTTCCAGAGAAAAACCTTCTATTTGTTGTATTGTTTCTGTCAGTCTGCTTTGTTTCAGCTGCCCTTGAGAGATTTGAAGCACCTGTTTTAACTTGCTGTGTCCCTTTCATCACACGTACGCACCTGTGCTCATCAACTTTTTTCATTGCTTTAGTTTTACATGACATGGACCATTTTAATACCTGTGGTAGTGGCATTTAAGTACAGTCATGATGTTTTGCAACCAAAACGTGTAGTTCCAAAACATTTTCATCCCTCTAAAGGGAAACACTGTGCCCATTTAGTAATTTCTCTTCCTCCAGCCCAAAACTGACAGCCGCTAATGATTTTCTGTTTATGGATTTCCTGTTAGAGCTATAGTGTGTCAATGGAATCTTACAATGTGTGAAATTTTGTGTGTCTCTTTTCTAACTTGTCCCATTTAAGTCCTTTGTGTGTTTTTAAATTTTGTCTCTCTGGGGTCTGAGTTCTTTATTAATTCTGGACATCGGGCGCCCATGCACTCCTGAGTCTTTAGGTGATCCTTTATTTTTCATCTCTCTGTTGTGTTCTATTTCCTTGAGTTGATCTTGTAGGATCTTAATAACTATTACATTTTTCTGCTTCCAAAAGAGTGTTATTTTTAACTTTGACTATTCCTTTTCTTTTTTTCTTTTTTTTTTTTTTTTAACAGCTTCCTGCTCTTGTTGGGAGTACTGTTTGCTTCTGTAATTTGAACAGCAATTCGAGAGCATTGTTTATTTTTTTCCCACACCCTAACTTTCACCCTTGTCTCCTTCATGCTCATCTAACCCCCTTTTCACGTGCTTGAAGGGGTGTTGATATTTCAGTGGGGCATAGAAATGATGAGCAGCACAGGTGGTGGAGGAAGCATGGAGATTGTAGAGAAGAATTCTCTCATTTTCTGCCTGGAGAATGTGTTGGTAGCCTCGTTTTTTATGATACTTGAGAAGCTCAGTGAAGTGAAGGTGAGGGGGGTCTTCCTATTTAGTCATGGACCTATCATTAAAGCTTGATGCACCCACCCTCAAGTACGTTTCTCTTCGTGTCCCTCTTGTAGCTGCCTACCTAGTTTCTTAGACCAAAAAATCCAGCCATCCTCTCTCACTCCTTTATCCCAGGTCTAAACCAGAGCATTGCTTGCTCTGCCGAAACTTCATGGCCAGCAGTTCCTGCCCATGCCTTGATAACTAGCTTTTTTACTTCCCTGTCTGCTCATTCTCCTTTCTTATTCTATATGTCAACATTGTGATCTGTAATCTTTTTAAAATACAAATCAGATGTTGTCTCTTGCTTGCTCAAATGTAACTTTCGGTACTGAAGGGGTAGCTCAGCTTGGAGCTCTTGCAGAGTTCAGGTCCCAGCATCGACGTCAGGGCTTCAGGACCCACTGTAACTTCAGCTCTGGGGGATCTGACGGCACACTCCCTTTTCCTCCACGGGCACCCACACATACATGCACCCACAAGTGAATTTGGGAACATACTATAACTATGTTTGACATTGCTGAAGGTGTCAAGGATGCTGTAAAAGGTTTTCCTTTTCTTGATTTCAGACTGCTGCATTCCTGTGCTTTCACTGGGGGGTGGAGGGGTCATGTATGACTGTTAGTAGCTTTTCATTTTATTTTTATTTTTAATTTAGATGACATGAAAATGGAGACTGAAATTAAGAGAAACAAAAAGACTCTTCTAGACCAAAATGGACAGTACCCAGTATGGATGAACCAGAGGCAGAGAAAAAGACTGAAGGCAAAGAGAGAGAAAAAACGGGGGAAAAGCAAAGCCAAGGCAGCCAAGGGCCTGGCCTGGTAGTCCCTTAAAAACTGGAAAGCAGGCTGGGCAGTGTTGGTGCACTGCACTTGGGAGGCAGAGGCAGGCAGATCTTGAGCTGAGGCCATCCTGGTCTACAAAGCAGATACCAGGACAGCCAGGACTGTTAACACAGAGAAACCTGTCTTGAAAAACCACAAAACAAAACAGCAACAACAAAAAACTTGGAAAATATTCATGGGAAAGAAGTTTGCTTGTTAGGAATGTCTGCACTGATTTCAGCTCTCACTAAATGGAAACTGTTTGTTTTCATATGTTAGTTTGGTCTTACATCTGTAATTCAAAACCAGAGTAATTCATTTGTTTTGCGGGAACTTGAATAAACTATCTTCTGTGATGAAAGAAAATTGGATGCTGCCTGATGTTTGAGTATTATTATCAGACACCACAATCTTGTGAGCATTACTGTGGTTATAATTATAATCAATGCCTCAGATTAAACATGCTTATACAAACAAAATTTGGACAAAATCTAGTATATTGTCATATTTTAAAATGGGGTCAAGGGGCTGAAGAAAGGGCTCAAGTTTAGAGCACACACTGCTCTTGCAGAGGACTCCTGCTTCATGTTGAGTGGCTCACAGCAGCTCCAGGGATCCACCCTCTTCTGGCCTCCTCCAGCATCTTCATTAATATGCGCGAGCTCCCCACACAATCACAACTGAAAAACAAGTCTTGAGAAAAAGGATGTCAGTGAATCTGTATCGTACAAGTAGTGTTTACTTGGAGTTTTTATTTTTATAATTCATAACAAATGATATTTTGTGTGTAGGTCCTACAGTTTGAGATTTTCTTTTATATATCTTTAAGGTTTCCAGCTGCTGAGAAGACCAGATACCTTTCATTTAGGTGGTCTATAACATACAGATTAGTGTGCCTTTTAGGTAATTCAAATATCACGGGTTTCTCTGAAAACAAATGTTCTTCAAGTTCTTTTTGTTTGTTTTTTTTCTTTTGGTTTTGTGTTATGGGGTTTTTCTGTGTAGCCCTGGCTGTCCTGGAACTCTGTAGGCGGACCTGCATAAATCCACCTCTCTCTACTTCCTGGGTGCTGGGATTAAAGGTGTGTGCTGACGCCACCACTCAGCAGTGTTGTTCAGTTTTTTATTGTGTAGCTTAAAATAATAAAGTGCAGCATTTCCCAGAATGTGTTATTCAGAATCAATTTCCCTAGATGTTTGATGTATATATATCCATCCATCCATTTGGTAAATGGCCCATACTTAAACACAGGTATTAACTTACAAGTGTTAGTGTTAGTATTGTTTTATGACGAGAGCTAGCATTATAATGCATAACTACTCTTCTGACTCTTTATGGACCAATAAGATGAGTTTTAGTTGAATCTATCTCAGCATACTTTAATTTCAATCATTTAATCTAAATTTAGCATTCCATCTGAAATTTCATTCTAGTCAGAGTCACGACCCTATGTGTTGAAGAAAACAAGGGACTTTGCAAATATCAGGAATGCTGAGAGCTGTGTGGCTGCTCAGAAAAAAAAAAAAAAGTTAACTTCACAGGCGAAAAAGAAAAATACATTAGAGTAAGATTACTTGGCCCTGAAACCATAAACTGCCAAGCACACTGCTGAGCGTGGATATGACCAGGTGCTACAGAAGTAAGCTACAAAATGATGTTGAATGCTTAAAATTAGCATAATAGGCCTTCCTTAATTTACTCAATAATTCATCAGAAAGTTAGTGAATAATTTCAAAATAAAATACATTTTTCTGAAGGCAACAACCAAACACTGGTCTTCCATGGATACAAAGCTCTGAGTTTGATCCCAGTATTGACAGGTGAAAAGAAAGGGTTGGAAGACGGGTAGTATTCAGTCTTTGTTCCTTTTTGTTGTAGTTGTCAGTAACTTTGGGAGGGGGAAATAGATAACACAAGTATGTGAAATAAGATGCTGCCGACAGTAGAGCACTTACACTAGAGTCATTTACCCTCTTTGATCATAGACTTGTCTGTGTTAATGCTGCACCCTTAGTTTTCATTTAGTTTTAGCAGCATCTGGATTGCTGAAGTTGAAGACACCACTTCCAGGGATCTATATACATTTTCCCTGTAGCTCAAATTTGATAACAGTGATAGAAGCTTGGAACACCCAACCAGGGCCTCTCCATGACATTAGGTTGTTCACCTACTGTTGGTTGTGACATTTGGTCATTCCAGTTTTAATGTAAAAGTTAGAGACTAAGGAGATAGCTCTGCTGGTAAATGCTTACTGTAAAAGCATAAGAGCCCCAGTCTGGATGCCCAGCATCCACATACAAAGCCAGGCCCAAGAGCATATGGCTCCATACTAGGGAGACAAGCAAGAGGGTTCCAGGGTGTAGGCCAAGGTCAGTCAGTGACAAATCTGAAGAAATGTGAACTGTGTCTTGAGGCCAGCCAGTCTATGCAAAAGAATGGGCTCATCTTTAAAAGCAGTGACATGAAAAAGCAGTTGAGAAAAACACCAGTTGAGACTGCCTGCTCCCAGCCTCACTTTACCAAAAACACTATCAAAAATGTGTGGGAGTCATGTTCTAGTATGGCATGGTCTCATGGCTTCTGGAAAGGTGACTGCTGTAGAGAAATTACTACCTTCCATCCTGAGTGGGTCTCAGCCCCGAGTTCCTGGACTGTGATGCTTTCATCTCCGATTTTGTCCGGACATCTAGAATGGGATTCCAAAGTCAGTTCAGGGATATGATCAGCTCTTTGTCGCTTTGTTTCAAAAGGCAAATACATGGAGAAGCAGTGTCGTTCTTTTCTATAAATAACTTCTTTTTACCAATTTGTCTTTGATGCTTTTGGGAGAATTGCTGTGGAACCACCAGGGGGTGCTCAAGCCAAGCAGCAAATAACTTGGAATTAGACTGAGATACATTAGAAACAGAATGGAACTATTTTTGTTGCTTTTAAAGAGATTAAATATACACAAGGCTAATAAAAATGTACGTTTAAAATTATTAGCTCATTTAATTCAGAAACCTTGTGATTATGCTGTTAATGTTACCTATACTCAAGGAAACTGAGGCACAGGGATCACGGAGCTAAAACTAGGACAGCTGTTCCAAAGAAGGCATTCTCAGAGAGAAATGGTGATCCTAGGGTAGAGTACTTGTAACTTGGTTTAACCCGTGATGGGATCGGGTTGAGCAGCCTCACGTTAGATAAAGAGCACACTTTACTAACTAAATGATTTATAGAGCCCTTCTCAATCCTCTAGGTGGAAACCAGACTGAATTTCTTTAGGTAACACTTCATTAGAAATGTATTAACTGATCCAAATGCGGGTGTAGGCAAGGTTTATAAGTGATCAGTTTGTTTTTAAGACAAGGTCTTGTTATGTAGGCCTGGATAGTCTGGTACTCATAGATCAAATTGATCTAACTTGCAACAATACCTTGAATCCTGAGTCCTGGAATTACAGGTATATACCACCATGGCAGAAAGTTGGCCACATGTTGTTCGATTGCTGTGACGCGAACGCAGATACATAGTTTTCCCCATCAGTGCACATATTACTTAAAATATACAGTAACTGGAAAGAAACTGAATGTCAGGTGGTGGTGGCACACTCCTTTAATCCCAGCACTCCAGAGGCAGAGGCAGGCGGATCTCTGAATTCAAGAACAGCCTGGTTTCCAGGACAGCCAGGGCTACACAGAGAAATCCTGTCTTAAAAAAACAAAACAACAAAAAAAAAGTAGAAACAGAATGTCTTCAGAATTTATATCCGTGTAATTGTGATATGATTCTTAGGAGTCGGAGAAGAGAAATGAACTAAGTATAAATGGTTAGATTCAATGACTTGAAATGTCCTGCAGGAGAAAGTGAAGGAGGATGATAGGTGGCGTAGAGTAGTGAAACACAAGAACAACTGGGGATCTAAAGCCCTCAAGGAATTGCCAAATGCAGGCAATCCCCAGCTGTAGTGCAGACATTAAGCTGTTGGCCTATCTTACCAGGGAAGGACAATTAGCAGAGAGTGATTCAAACTTGCACTAGCCACACACAGTTCTCCAGTATTTTCTATCACATAAAATCTTCATTGCAGTAGACACATACCACTTTTATAAGAATATGTTTGCAGGTGTCAGGGGACTTTCAAGTACTTACACTACACCAAAAGCCACCTTGCATCCCCAGGGCCCTGTCGGCCTCATAGAGGTCAGGTTCGATTCCATTTATAAAAGGAACCATAAAATTTACATTGCTTGAGATAGGGAGAGAGCTCCACAGATAAGAACCTTTGCTATGAAGCCTGAAGACCCGAGTTCAAATCCCTAGTACCTATAAGCCAGGCATGGTCTCGTGATGATAATTTCAGTGATGTGGGAGCTGCCAACCTAGCTCTATGTTCAATGACAGACCTATTCCAAGGGAATAGGTAGAGGATGATAGAACAAGACACCCAGTGTCCTCCACTGGACTCTGCTCATGTCCACAGGCATGTGCCCGTGTGTGTACACCACACAGGCACACATGCACACACACACGTGTACACAGTACATAGGCAATTGCCAAAGTTTTATTTTTTCACCTACTTTAAAGCAGAGGGAAAATACAGTGTGATATCAAATAAGACTCAGTTGATGAGATCATACAAAACATTTAAAAATGCTTATTCTTCTATATGTCTCACACTGATTATTGAATCTGTAAAACAATGCTGAGAAGTTAATATGTTTGTCTGTGGTTTCCAATGAGGGGTTTGAAGAGAAAATGTTAAGGGTCATGCAAGTGCCATGCTGTCCTCAGTGGAGAATGAATATCTAGAATGGAAAACTGCAGACAGACTGATCCCATCTCCAGAGGAGCCTGTATCTAGGATGCCACCCCTGGCCAGGTGAGGCTGGGTGGCTGCTTGGTTGGGATGTAGCTGAAAGATTTAAAACATTGGGCTTTCAGGTTAAAAGCAAGCTCTTACATTCAACCCTAGAAATAACATATAGAAAGTTGAAGTTAACATATTTTATGCCTATTTTACTCCCTCCAGTCTTTTGGCCTTCCATGATTATAAACTTCAGTATCTTTATAGTGAAAAAATTACAAAATATGAAGTCTCCTTAATTTCATTAATGTTAAATCTGGTACTCATTCAACTAAGCTCCCAATTAAAGCTCTGTAAACATCTGTTTTAAACAATGGATGGGGTGAAGACTTTCAAATTTCAATCTAAAGGATGGCACAGCTTTCTAATATGTTAGGTTCCTGCATATTGGCTTTCCCTGAAGCGATGGATTGACTTGGCATCATGCTATCTTATGGAACACTTTTTCTCACTCTCGTGTGTGTGTGTGTGTGTGTGTGTGTGTGTGTGTGTGTGTGTGTGTGTGTGTATGTCTTTATAGTTTTCAATATCAGCAAAACCTTCCCTTTAAGTGATCTTAGCCGGGTGTTGTGTATCACTGTACAGTAACTGTGGGTACATATGGGGTCTCTGATCCGTGTAATAAAGTACATTTGTCATGGATCTTGTGATCTGCGTACCTTCCAGCCGTTACTTCATAAATCTGTTCCATCGGAGGATTGCTTTGTACAGCCGTGGCTGAAGCTGCTTTTAATAAACTAATATTTTGTGTCTTTTATATGTAATCAACAGGGAGTATTATAGCCTTGTGCCCCTATGGAGAAACATTCCACTAAACTTCTTTTCTCTTGACAATAATGAGAAAAAAAATAGCCCAGGAAAGGCACAGATGTTCATGAACATATGTTGTTTTCTCCTAAAAGTCAGCTGAAGATCTTTTGTATTGTTCCAGATTTAAAAAAAAAAAATGCTTTCAAGAAGAAAGAGTTTGAGATGTGTGATGGGGAGAAGACAGTTACAAATTTCATCGAGAGTCCAACATGGGGTGCTATTTGTCAAGAGTATAAGATGCCTCCCTTCAGTCTCTCAAAGAGTGCTGATGGGGAGCAGAGCTGTAGGCAGTTGGCCAAAGATAGGTCGTTCTCATGACTTCCTATTCAGATATACGCACTGTTTTATTCTTTGTTCTACCCCAAACTTCAAATTAGCGGTGTCTCCAGACAAAGCAGGTATTTAATAATTCAAGTACCAAACACTCCTCCTTGTGCCCCCTTCCCTTGAGTCATTAAGCAGGGGCAGTTGTCTTTCCAGAGTGTAGACATGTCTGCAGGGTGTGTCAGATGTCTATGTACTGGGCAGTTGGTTATTGACATATGTACAGGAGAATGTTATTGGGGAAAACCTAAAAAGGGAGCCGTGTGCCTTAGGAGAGGTTGGTGTGAATGTTCTTTATAAGGCTATGAATCTTTAAGAAGACTTGTCATGAAGAGAATGGGAACCAGCTGTTCGGATCTCCACCGAGGAAACAGGTTTTGACTATAGCAGATAGGATTGGAGTTAAATATAAAGAAGAACTTTCTGGATGTGTTACTAAAATCCAGGAATATGTTGGAAAGAGGGAGTGAGATGGTCTCTGAGGGAAGGCTAGAACATAAGAATAAGAAACAGAGGCAGGGAGCAAGGGGAGCCTGGCCCTCATTTAATTAGGAAAGGCTCACTTTTCATTCTATCCAAGGGCTCTTAGTCCTTTAGTCTCCTCTCTCACACCCACATCTCAGGTTATGAGGTTTAAAGAAATCAGTATCGAGGTCTTGTCTTTGCCCTGAGAACTTACGTGCTGGAACTGTAGGTCTGGAGGTCCTTTCGATTCTCCACTGAGAGGAAGCACTGGGGTGTGACCAATAGACAAAGACACTGCCTTGTGGTTAAGTTGCCACCGTTGTCACTAAACAGCAAGCATAAACTGTGCTAAGCAGCCTTAGACCGCTTGGCTGGGGGAGGAACACACCTTCTGTGTCCCTGCAGGTTGTGTCTTAGTCCCTGCCGTTTGTTTCGAAGTCCCCAACAAGACAACGGTTTCAAGGCTGGGCTCTAAGAGAAATGGAGCCTTTCGTTTATCACTTTGATTTATTTTATGTCTTTCGGCTTTTGGTTGTTAGCCCATTCCTACCCTCATCTCATCCTCTGTTTTCGCCTCTCTTTAAATATCTCTTTAACATTCCTTTTCCTCCTTCTGTCTGTGTCCCCTACATTGCTTTCTTGTCTTTGAAAATATAGATGTAAAGCTGCGAGTCACACATTTATTTAAGCCAACGAATTTAGGGCTAAGTAACTTTATTTGTAAATTCCCCGTAGCATGTTTGCTGTGGCCCAGGGACCATGATGGGACTAGGTTTCCCGTTTCTGTGTTGCTCCTTCTCCTAGCTGTCTTTCTCTACGTTCCTCTGCATGCCCCTTGCCTTCTTCCCTTCTGAACTGGACTCTGTAATGTTTTCATTCTGCCCTGGGCTTTCATCACTGCCCTTGTTGCCCCCCCACCCCATTTTCTCACTCCCTCTTCCCTTTCCACCCCAATCTCTCCACTAGTTACTATTTATTTCTTATCTTTCCGATTCATTCTCATCCCCTAACATTAACTAGATCCAATATGAATAGAAAATATACAGTCCCACAAAGATAGGAAAATAGACTGGCTGTCTGTGTTTATAAATAAAGTTTTATTGGCATGTAGTTACTCCACATTTGTTCATGCAGTATCTATGGCTATTTTGATGCTATGAAGACAGTTGAACAGCTAGAATAGAGACCTTCCTGTGGCCTGCAAAGCTTACCTTATGCTCTGCCACCCCCCCAAGAAAACAACAACAACAACAACAAAAAAAAAACAAAGTTTGCTGACTCCTGCTTTAGCATAGTTTCTGTGTTTATTAAATGAAGATTTTACTCCTTATTGAGGAATTGGGGTGAGTGGGAGATATATATATTCTGTGTCCATTCTTTTGTTTTTCTCATTTGGATTCCTGTCCCTTCCCAGATGCCCAACTTCAAGGCAGTCACATCCCAAAGAGAAAAAGATAATGAGGCTCACCCAATGGGAGGCGGCACTGAATGCTGTCATTTGTGGTAGGTTTGTGTTTAGATGTGTTCCCACCTACCATCTCCAACTGGACTTCATTCAGCCTTCGAATTAAACAAACAAGCAACAAAGAGGGCTTTGCAGCTAAGCTTTTCACAAATCCCACAGCTAATTTTCCTGCAGGTTTACAAACCATTTTTGAAAATGTTAGATGCCAGATGAAGGGCTCTGTTTTAATTCAATACGGCACCTAGAATGCCGGTTCGGGTAACAGCATTCCAGCACAGCTGATTTGGTGGGTGGTCTTGATGAAAATAGTTTACACAAATTCACTTCCAGGCTGGTTTCATTAACATGAAATTAATATGGACTAAAGTAGTCATAGCACCAAGGGCTAGAAACACTCCTGAGATCACCTATTCTAACCCCGTGCTTCTTAACAGATGAGGAAGCTGAGTTCTCCAAGATATTAGCAGTTCATGGGAAAGTCCAGGGACTCTGGTCTCTGTAGTTTCAGGCCAGTCATTTTCTAAACCATAAATCCGTGACAACTAGTCATACCAACAAGAACACAGTGACTAGTGCCAAAATTAATCATGTTTTTTTCCATAAAAGAGCAGCCACTGGGTGAAACTGCAGTGTGTATCTAGTAACCTTTTTATGCAATTAGCAGTGAAAC